CCTCAGAACACCACGGCTGTCATACATATATTTCGGTAGCCAGCGACTGAATTTTGATCATGTGACCATAGGGATGAGGCAACGGTCGTAAGTGTGAAAAACAGACATTAAGTCACTTTTTTCAGTGCCATTGTAATTTCTAATGGCCGCTAAATGAATGTTTAATGTTTTAACCTCTGCCGTATTTAACTCGCCTATTACATTAAGCCAGGTGTTCTCAAACTTTTTAAACAGGGCCAGTTCATTGTCCCTCAGACTGTTGGGGGGGCCGGACTATAGTTTGAAAAAAATAATGTTAATAAGTTTTTATTAATAAAAAATCTATTTGAGTTAATTATTTGTCTATATTTGAATATTTTCTTCCGGGTCCATTTTATTTACTTTCACCGAATTCCTATGCACACTGCACATATCTTATTTGTAGTGCGAAAAAACAGAAAAAAACAATACAATATTTAAAATGAATAATTTTAATTAACATAAGCTTATTAATATTTCAATGGGAAGTATGGGCCTGGTTTTGGCATGAGATAGTCAGTGTCCAGTTCCATATTTGCCACTGCTAGTCTTAATAAGTGAGCATCAGTTAATCTGGATCTGGTTGGAGATTTCAGATGTTTCTTTCAGGAAAAAGTCTCTTCACAGACATAGGTGCTGCCAAAGATGGTCGCCATTTTAAGCGCATGGTTCCTGAGGTTAAGATATGTCTCAGAGGGGAGAGATGCTTAGAAATGAGTAAGGCTGTTTGACTTGAATGCGTCTTTCAGAGAGTCACAATTCTGTAGTTCGGCCAATTCCATTTGGCAAATCAGATCAACAATTTCAATGTCAATAGAAAATGGGTTCTGGAAAACCTGTATTCAAGATGGACAATATTTATTGTTATGTATATGTATGGGTGTGGGTCTATACATATGTTGTATATATTATGTATGTTTCACTTTGAGAGCGGGCAACTAAATTTCATTTTTGATGTGTGCCGTTGTGCCCACAGTAAAAAAAATGACAATAAAGGTCCCTGAAAGACTCACTGTACTAAATAAATCAGTCTTCTCTGGACACATCTCTTTAGCAACAGAAAGAAGGCATTCTTTAACAAATACTCCCTCTACGAATGGTCTGCCAGTACACGCTATTAGCTTGGCAACTTGAAAACTTGCTCGCAGTGATGAAATAGTTAGCTGCTTCTGCTTCACAAAAGTATTTTGCTGAGTTGTCAATCCATTTTTCAGTTTTAATATTTTATCTTTTCTCATTTGTCCATCCAAACAATCATATTTATCTTTATGTTGAGTTTTGTAGTGTTGACGCAAATTGTATTCCTTGAAGACAGACACTGAATTCTGGCAAATCAGACGAACAGCTTTTTCCTTGTAACTGTACGAAAAAGTAATCGTAAGTCCACTGTTTTTGGAATAGCTTAAAGAGGAAAAAAACGGAGTTTATGTGTTTCTTATTTTGTGAGCCTTTCTTACTTTGCACTTGATTCCTGTGTCTTTAAGGGTACACCGAAGGGTTTGGTGGGGAGGGGGGGGTTGCATTCTTACTACACTTAGAAGGGAGAGAGGAAGAAAGGCCAACCAGCCAGGTCTACCAACTTAGCAACTTTAAGACCTGTGGACTTCAACTCCCAGAATTCCTCAACCAGCCATGAGGGCTGAGGAATTCTGGGAGTTGAAGTCCACGAGTCATAAAAGTGCCAAGTTTGAAGACCCCTGAGCTAGCTGCTAATGATGCATATTAATAAACATGGATAAATTCATCATACATTTGTCAGTTCAAAGGGAAAGTGATTCAGCAAAGGAACAGCCACTGAAGAAATTAAAACTGGTACTTTTTCCCTTCTTTTCTACAGTTTGTAATATTTTATTAGATTATAGAATAAAATACAAAAATTCAAAAGCAAATAGTAGGACACAGTGGGGAGGAAAAAGGGGGAAAACGTGAGGGGGAGAAGGGAAAAAGAGCAGACTTCCTCTGTTGCAGTAGAAGCATTAACATTGACACTCAGCTTTTTACTTTTCCATTGGCTGAGCGTGGCCCATTGGGTGGGCATGGCTGCGGTGGTAACGGCAGACTGGGTGGAACTAAAAAGTTCAATCAATCAATTCCAACTTTGCAAGATCTTTTTTTTCCCGTGAGAAGTTGAAATTGACTGAACCTTTTTTTTTTTTTGCACACGGCGGCGGAGGCCTAAAGTGAAAAGGTTTTATAAAACCCAGCTGAAGGCCTAGGACTGGGGCGACGGTGCGTGTGCCCACAGAGAGGGCTCTGAGTGCCACCTCTGGCACCCGTGCCATAGGTTCGCCACCACTGCACTAGATTCTGTAACAGCTTTGTTCCTTACGCCAGAGGTCCCCAACCTTTTGGGCACCAGGAACCGATTCTGTAGAGAAAAGATTTTTCTACGGACTGGAGGGGGCATGGTTTTGTATGCTGCTTGCATACCACAGATGGGATTTGCTTGTTTGTGCGGACCAGTTGTTGGCATGCTGCAGCCTGGTACTGGTCCATGGACTGGGGGTGGGTGGGTTGGGGAACCCTGCCTTATGCCACCTGTCTTGTAAATTCGCAGATTCTTTTTTTTTGGCCATGTGTATACATTCGAACTTAACTGTGATGTTTCTCTGTGTCGTCTGCGTGTATGCGGGTATATGCAAAATGGTATTTTTTTGAGAGCTGAATGCAACAAAAATTCATTTCAATGTATGTTGATTAGTGTACGTTTAAAGCAGTAGTTCTCAACCTTTTTAATGCTGCGACCCCAACCGGTCGTAAGTCGAGGACTAAACTGGTCGTAAGTCGAGGACTACCCAACTGGTCGTAAGTCGAGGACTTTCCCTGCCCGGGAGCGCCGCGCATGCGTGGTTCCGCCCCCTGCGCCGGCCGAGGCGTAGCTGGCAAGCGGCAGAGACGGAGCAGGCCGACCACCAGCTGGCCCAGCCCAAGGGAGGTAAGGCACCTGCCGGAAAAGGGGAAAAAATGGCGGACAAAAAAAATGGCGGACAAAAAAAATGGTGGACAGCCTTGCTTGGTGACCCCCGTGAAATGGTCGATCGACTCCAAATGGGGTCCCGACCCACAGGTTGAGAACCACTGGTTTAAAGGGACAATAAAGTTTTTATTCTCTTCTCTTCTAAGTGATTTTTCTTTGGGTAAATACGTACAAACCCATGGTCCATCACGACACAGACATTTCAATTGACTTTATGATTGCAACAAGGACTAAAATATGTTCAAAAATCTCCCGAACTCTTCCTGCAAAGATGAAAATTGATGAAATTACTAATCGTAATTTGTTAAAAATTCACTGAAAAGTTTGGGTGGGCTTAAATAGCCATCTTCTCCAACTGGGTGCCCTCAAATATGCTGAGCCTGCAACTTTCAAGGAGTTGTGTGAATCCAATACTTGGAGTGCAAAAGGTACAAGTAAATACAAAGTTTATGACAACGTTGTTTAGCAATTGGAGTTCCAGTCCCAATTTGTGGTTGTGAGTCCAGGAAAATCCATAGATGAAAAGCGTGTGAAAGGCACCCAAGGAACCTTATTAAGAGCACTTGAGCTACTTTATCTTTTAGCCTAAAATTTGGTGACAGACCCACCTGGGTCACAACACCATAAATTAACTGGACAAGCTGGATTTGCACAATCTGTTAAAGAAAAACAACTAAACATAAAATTAACCTAATTTAGCGTGTTATGCAGACGAAGCAGAGATTCAACGCTTCTGTGAGCCTATACAGGCAGCCCTTGACTTACAACGGCCCATTTAATGACTGTTCAAAATTACAACGGCACTAAAAAAAGTGACTTATGAGTTTTCACACTTATGACCCTTGCCGCATCCCCATGGTCACGTGATCAAAATTCGGAGGCTTGGCAGCTGATATGTACTTATGATGGTTGCAGTGTCCAGGGTCATGTGATCCCCTTTTGCATTCTTCTGACAAGCAAAGTCAATGGGGGAGCCAGATTCGCTTAACAGCCATGTTACTACCTTAACTATAATGATCCATTTAAGAAATCATAAAATGGGAGAAAACTCACTTAACATCTGCCTCGCTTAGCAACAGAAATGTTAGGCTCAATTGTGGTCATTAGTCAAGGACTACCTGTAACCGTATTTCTTACAGTAATCATTCAAATATAAGAGAAATTTGGGCCCAATCACCACTGAATAGCAAACTTTTCCTCCACGTCCGATCTTTGGTTTGAAATTCAAAGAATATCATATTGAATTCCACTTTTTTGGCCCAGGCAGAGGGAGAACCAAGCCTAGTTTGATCTTAAAAGAGATTAAACAGTTTGGAATTTGGGCAGGGGGTGTCCCAACACACTTGGGAGGAGGCAACAGAGTTGCCTTGAACTGTAAGATGGGCAGCAAATAAATTGGTTAAATAAATAAATTTGATAAATGAATTGAAAAGGTAAATGCAAAAGCTTGAAATGTTCCGGTGAAAATATGCAATTTTTTCTCCCTGGACAAAACATTTCAGACCTCTTTATTCTTTGCTTTCCATTTTGTGTGTGGGGGGGGGGGAGATATGTCTGCCAAAGGATCTCACATATTCTCTCTGGGATTGTGTTGCTCTGGACAGCCACAACAATTACTGGACAATGGACACGGATGCAAGCCAGCTCAAAAAAGGAAGGCACTTCTAAAGAGCAGTTGCAAAAAAAATCCTTCTCTAAATGTTAGGCTCTCTGCATTCACACAACCCATTCATTTTGTTCCCCTGCTTGGATAAACCCGGCCTGTTTGCTTTAAAGTTTTAACATGCAGGGAGTTGGCCAAACCCCTGAAGTTGAAGCAACTGAATCGAGAATTTCCGCATTCAGACAACTCCTTTTGGCCATCCTTGACCCCCTGTCTAAGCCATCCCCGAAGGGAAGAGCAAGCCCTACGGTTATTTTTTGCCCAGGTTTAACGTTCCAGATCCAGGCTTGAGGGAAAGGGCCCAAATGCACCACAAAAGCTAAGATTTCAGCTACAGTCCTTTGGAAGAAAAAATTTACGACGTTGTTTTATGTAGGAATTCCAAGCCCCCGACAAAAACGGCCTTGGGAAAGCGGTCAGCCTGAAACCCGGGTCTGTTGGCAGCAGGAAATACAAGCAACTCATGGTGGATTGGAAGTCAGAGTTCCAGATGCTTCAAATGTTGCTGGAAGATTTCTTCGGCCCTCTGAAGGTATTCGGCTGTCTTCTTCTTCACTGCTTCCCTGCGGGCTAGATTTGGATCGCCTGCAAACAGGAAGACATGTTGGATCACTTTGTGGTGGCTCTCCCTGGAGCCCTGGAATCCAGCCAGCAAAAAACAAAACAAAAAGTCAAAACAGCAGCTCAAAGCATTTAGCAGGGTAGCAGGCCACCAGCCGGCTGGGATTATAGCTTCTAAGAAGTACCTTCTTCTGGCCACATTCACACAACATACTCAAACCAGGATTGGTAAAAGACGAAGCAGCTACGTTTTCATGACACAGTAAACTTGATTTAAGTATTTACCTCAGTTAATTATTTTCCCCTTAGGCTTAGCCTATTGCACCAACCCAGCCTACCTTGTTTGTTCAGTAGCCATAGTCACACGACACGCTCAAACCTGGATTAGTAAAAGACGGAGCAGCCAAGAACAGTTGGTATCTGAATTAGACTTTGGTTCCAGCTCTGCTCAGCGCCTTTCCAGGGACCAAACTCGCCCCCGTTTCGGGAAAAATCCCAAAAGCCGAAAAGACCCACTCCTAGCTTTACGTACCATGAAGACCCTGAAGGAGCAAGTCAACTCCACTGCGGTAGCCATGAAAGGCCCCCTGATAGTCTCTGGAGGCTTCACACAGCACAGCTTGCCGGATCCGCTCAGTCGCTTCGGGCAGATACAAGGCACCTCCTGCCTCAGGTTTTTGCGTCATGTCTGTGCTGAGCAGGAATTCTGGTTTGGTCTCCGAGGCCTCCAGAGAAGCCAGATCGTCTTCGTGGGAGAGACCAGTGGCAGTAGAAGCTGGATCAGAAGGAAAAGAACAGATGGGCAGAAGCTCAACTGGCTAGAGAAAAAGATGGCTAGAATATAGTAATATAATAGAATAGAATAGAATAGAAGAGAAGAGAAGAGAAGAGAAGAGAAGAGAAGAGAAGAGAAGAGAGAATGGGAATAGAATAGAATAGTAGAGTAGAGTAGAGTAGAGTAGAGTAGAGTAGAGTAGAAGAACAGAGTTGGAAGGGACCTTGGATGTCTTCTAGTCCAACCCCCTGCTCAGGCAGGAAACCCAATACCCTTTCAGACAAATGGTTGTCCAGTCTTTTCTTAAAAACTTCCAGTGTCGGAGCATTCACCACTTCTGGAGGCAGGTTGTTCCATTGGTTAATTGTTCTCAATGTCAGGAAATTTCTCCTTAGTTCCAGGTTGCTTCTCTCCTTGCTTAGTTTCCATCCATTGCTTTTTGTCCTGCCTTCAGGCGCTTTGGAAAATAGCTTCACTCCCTCTTCTTTGTGGCAACCCCTGAGATATTGGAACACCGTCATGTCACCCCCAGTCCTTCTTTTCTTAAACTAGACATACCCAATTTCTGCAACCATTCTTTAATTTTTTTAGTCTCCAGTTCCCTGATCATCTTTGTTGCTCTTCTCTGCACTCTTTCAAGAATCTCAACAACTTTTTTATAATATGGTGACCAGAACTGTGTGGCCTTACTAAGGCATTATAAAGTGCTATTAACATTTTATGTGATTTTGATTCTATCCCTCTGTTAATGCAGCCTAGAGCTGTGTTGGCTTTTTTGGCAGCTGCAGCACACGGCTGGCTCCTATTCAACAGATTCAATATTCAACAGATCAACAAAGATGATAAATGATCTGGAAGCTAAATCATATGAGGAACGTTTGAGGGAGCTAAGGTATGTCCAGTCTAGGGGTCTCCAAACTTGATAACTTTTAAGACGTGTGGTCTTCAACTCCTCCCAGGATGAGAAGTTGAAGTCTTAATTTTGAGAGTTGAAGTCCACAAGTCTTAAAGTTGCCATGTTTGGAGACCCCAGGTTAGTCTAACAAAGAGAAGATGGGGGGGGGGATACACATGACGGCTGTCTTCCAATACCTGAGGGGCTGTCAGAGACGAGGAAATTGACTTAAATCTCCTAAGCACCTGAGGGCAAGACAAAAAATAATGGATGGAAACTTATCAGGGTGAGATCCAAGCTAGAACTACAGTGAAATTTCCTGACAGTGAGAACAATTAACCAGTGGAAGGGTGTCAGAGCATGCAGTCTTATTGTGCTGAGGTAACCCAGGAGTAAATACAGTAAACAGTGGTTTGTATTAAATGGTGGTTTATATTACAATATCTACAAATATACTAGAAACAAAATACATACACGTGATAATTCAGCAAACTCCAGTACACAGCAATTACAGCAGGATATGGACGAGAGAGAACACAGCAGCAAAAGCCTTCCCTTTTATTCTTCTTCTTCTTCTTGTGCCATGTTCGTTATCGGACGTTGGCGATCATGTTGGCGATCCTGTTTTTAGCAGCCGCACGAAAAAGTGCCGCTGAGTTTTTTCCCTTTTATACTCAGGCTCTTAAAGGGATAGAGACACCTGCTGAGTCATTCCTATCATTGCATCATTATATAAGCTGCTTAGCTATTCAATTATTATCCTGACAAAAGGGCTTGCCTTCAGAATTTGTGGGTGCTCCATTACTGGAGATGTTCAAAAATAGGTTGGACAACCATTTGGCTGGGATGGTATAAGGTCTCCTGCCTTGAGCAGGGGTTGGACTAGAACGGCCTTTCAACCTTTTCACCCAGTGTACCACTTTCAGGATATCCGAGTACCACCAGTCACCTAGCAAGGCGTCAAAAATTTGATCCAAAAAAAAAAAAAAAAAGGAAAGGAAAAAAGTGATCTACAGGTAGTCCTCAACTTACAACAGTTCGCTTAGTGGCTGTTCGAAGTTACAATGGCACTGAAAAAGTGCCCCCCAAGCCACAGCTGAGCAAGACACACCTGCCTGCCCACCTGGCCGCGCTCTTCCTCCTGTCCGAGGTTTTCATTGTTGTGAGCATTTCTGTTGAGGATTGGCAGCGGGGGTGGGGTGGGGGGGTATTTGGTTTTTATTCCCCCCCCCCGTCTGCTGGGTGGTTGCAGCAGGTTTTGGTCACTTCACATGACCCTGGGACACTGTGACCGTCATAAATATGAAGCAGTTGCCAAGCATCTGAATGTAAATCATAAGACCCTGGAGAGGCTGCAACATTCCAGCTGATCGGCGCTTCTTCTGGGCTCAGCGGAAGCGCCAGGATCAGCGCAGAGCTCCAGCTGGATCCTGGCGCTGATCCTGGCGCTTCCGCTGAGCCCTGACAGCCCTGCAGCTCCAGCCGTCTCTCGGTCAGGCTTGTGCGGTGCTGCCACCGGTTCAGCTCATTCCCCTCCCCCGCTACTTTTCTAGGATGGTCGTGTATCACCTGCCAGGTGCCAATGTACCACAGGTGGTACCCGTACCACTGGTTGAAAAGCCTTGGACTAGAAGACCTCTGAGGTCCCTTCCAGCCTTGGGGTTCTATGTTCCATGGGGAGATCCCACCCCCATCGGTGTCTTGGATCACAGACGATCATGCCTGTTGGTGGGCCTTCATTTCCTACCTACCTTCTTTGGAGAAGGGGTCAAAGAGGGCTAATTCTTGGACCGATAAGAGGCAGTGAGAAGGTGAGGCGTTCTTGGCTCCTTCCTCGTCTTCCTCCCTGAAGGCAAAGAGGGCATCCAGATCCTCCTCTTGTTCCACAGCGTCAGAGGCCCCCTCTGTGGTAGAAGCAACCGTCAGTAGAAGCAGGAGCACAACTTCTACTAAACTCCAAATCTATTATGGACTGGCCACCTTAAGATTAGGTTCCCAAATGGCTGCAGGCATGCAATTAATTGGACCAAAATTTTGGCAACTTGAAGCTGGCTGGGGAATTCTGGGAGTTGAAGTCCACCCATCTTACAAGTGGTCAAGATCTGAATTACAGACTGAACATTAGACTCCCCAAGCATTTTTCCAGGGATGTGCATCCTGCAAACCACAACAGCTGTAATCACACCCCACACTGTCAAAACTGAACAAACCACATTTTGGTTTAGGGCAGGGCTAGAGAACCTTGGCTCTTTTATGACTCGTGGACTTCAACTCCCAGAATTCCTGAGCCAGCATGGCTCAGCTTGGAAACCTCTCCCTTTCCCCTCAGCATGGCTGGCTCAGGAATTCTGGGAGTTGAAGTCCACGAGTCATAAAAGAGCCAAGGTTGCCTACCTCTGGTTTAGGGCAATCTTTGGACCTAACTATTGTGGTTTATTTACGGCTTGGGGCGAGATGCACACTCACACCTAGCTTGCGTATTTGGCAAGGGGTCTAGTACTGTAGAGAGTAGGGCAAGATTTGGAAATGAGCGATTACAACCTGTTTATCCCAACTGTGAGATGATTTATCCCAACTTAACTATGATTGGTTAAGTCAATAGAGTGTGAAGCTGCACAGAGAGTTATATGCTGGAAAGTATTCAACCCATCTTGTTGATTTGTTTGGCTTCTCTGGAAAGTGTGCACCTGGGCATGCGCAGAATGCCTTCCTCTCCTCAAGGGGAGCATAATTTGTTTGGTCTGGTGGTTAAGGCACCAGGCTAAAAAATGAGACTGTGAGTTCAAGTCCTGCCTTAACCATGAAAGCCAGCTGGGTGACTTTGAACCAATCACTAGGAGATGAATTCTAGTCCCGCCTTAGCCATGAAAGGCCACTGGGTGACCTTGGGCAAGTCACTCACTCTCTCAGTCCAGCCCATCTCACAGGGTTGTTGTTGTTGGGAAAATAAGAGGGGCAGGCATGTTGGATATATTCACTGCCTTGAGTTATTTGTAAAAAAAAGGAAGGAAGGAAGGAAGGAAGGAGGGAGGGAGGGAGGGAGGGAGGGAAGGAAGGAGAAAAAGATGAAGAAAGGAAGGAAGAGAAGGAAGACAGAAAAAAGGAAAAGGAAGAGAGGAAGGAAGGAAGGAAGGAAGGAAGGAAGGAGGGAGGGAGGGAAGGAAGGAAGGAAGGAAGGAAGGAAGGAAGGAGAAAAAGATGAAGAAAGGAAGGAAGAGAAGGAAGACAGAAAAAAAGGAAATGGAAGAGAGGAAGGAAGGAAGGAAGGAAGGAAGGGAGAAAGAAGGCAGAAAAAAGGAGAAGGAAGGAAGAAGGAGAAAGAAGGAAGGGAGAGGGAAGGAAGGAAAGGAAGGAAGGAAGAGGGAAGGAAGGAAGGAAGGAAGAAAGGGAGAAAGAAGGCAGAAAAAAGGAGAAGAAAGGGAGAGGGAAGAAGGGAGGGAGGGAGGGAGGAAAAAAAGGAGAAGGAAGGGAGAGAGAAGGAAGGAAGGAAGGGAGAAAGGCAGAAAAAAAGGGAAAAGGAAGGAAAAAATGCTACTTTCAACCTTTCTCATTTTGGAATCCAGAGCCTTAAGGAGGTACCTTGGTTCTCCATTTGGGGCTCAGAGACGCCATCTTTGCTGGCCACCTCTGGCTTTGGATCCAGCAGCCCATCCTCCTGAACCAGCCCCAGAGCCTCCTCGCCCTGTTCGACTCCTGCCGCAGGCACCGGGATGAGAGGGAGAGGCAGGGATGGCGACTCCCAGTGCCTGGGATAACTCTGCCCCTCTCCGCCCTGGAAGGACGAAGCGACCGCTGCTTTCCCACTGAACCGAGTCTCCGAGTTTGCCGCCTTCTGGATTTGGGCACAAAAGGAGATCAAAACTGTCCTCAACTTACGACTGTAGCTGAGCCTGGAATTACCATCATAAGCCATTGTGGTTGACGTCATGTCGCCAGACCTGATTTTTTTGAAAGTTTTTTGCAGTGGTCATTAAAGTGAATGCTGTGGTTGTTAAGTGAATCCACTTTCTGCAATGTTTTCTTTCTTTTTTTTTTTTTGCAGGAAAGCGGAAGTCAATGCTGGAAACCGGCGAAAAAAAAAGAGATGCATATTGGCTTGGTTAAGCAGTGTTTTTATAGAAAATTTAATTGATGTATCAGCGCGTTTGATCACATCAAACCGTATCATGGTTTTAATGCAGTGTTTCTCACCTCAGGCAACTTTAAGAATTCCCTTGAAACTGTGTGCGCTTCGGTTCCCCCTGGGGTATTCTGGGAGTTGAAGTCCACATACTTTAGGGTTGATCAGATTGGGGAAAAAAACACTTGGTTTAAGGCAGTGTTTCTCAACCTTGACAATTTTAAGGCATGTGGACTTCAACTCCCAGAATTCCACATGCCTTAAAATTGTCAAGGTTGAGAAACACTGGTTTAAGGTCATGCAATGCAAGATGCCCAAACAAACTGGGATCCTGAACCACAAACCTAGTCTAAATCCTAGTCTGGCTATTTGTGATGGATCCCAACAGTCGGTCCCCTGGATCTAACAGTCCAGTAATCAACGGTTCCCATCTGTGGATTCTACTGTCCAACTGGCTTTACTGCGACAAGAATCGGAGATTATTTGTTTGTTTGTTATTTGGGATTACATGTGGTCCTTAATTTATAACAGTTCACTTAGTGACTGTTCAAAATTACAACGGCACTGAAAAGTGACTTTTGACCATTTTTCAGACTTATGACCGTTGCAGCATCCCCCTGATCACGTGATTTACATTCAGCTGCTTGACAACCGACTCGTATTTGATGGTTGCAGTGTCTCTGAGCCACATGATTCTCTTTTGCGACCTTCTGACAAGCAAAGTCAATGAGGAAGCCAGATTCACTTAACTGTGTTACTAATTTAACAACTACAGTGATTCATTCTGAAGGGAACTTAAAATCCAGGCAAGAGATGGAAAATCAGGGCATCGATTTAACATGGTGGTCACATTTACAAATGCAAGTCAGACATGACAAAGATATTAAACAGTATGGATTTTATAAAGAGCAGACTATGTTTGATCAGACATTACTAACTTCTGATGAAAAGTTAATTAAAAAATGTATAATTTCTTATTAAATCTCAAAATGGAAGATGAACAAGTAAAAGAGACAATGATAGTATGGGCAACGAATTTTGGATATAATATAGATTTAGAGAAGTGGCAAAGTTTGTGGGAAAGAAACTGTAAATTGACAATGTCAACTTCATATAAAGAAAACTTATATAAAATGTACTATAGATGGCACTTGCCACCAACAAGATTAGCAAAAATGTTTAAAAATATGTCAGAGAAATGTTGGAAATGTAAACACAAACCAAGTACTTATTATCATATGTGGTGGACATGCGTTAAAGCAAATGGACAGACTTACTTTAAGGTTGAAAAAAAAAGAAGAAACAGAATATTTTCAAACTTAGGGCCTATTTTATCAATGGTTAGAGAAAAGATTTAGGGATTAGGAATTTAATTTGTATTAGTGAATAAGATACTCAGATAACACGTTTCTGTTGAACGGTTACTATTGAATTCTGTTAAAAAAATAATCAATAAACTTTATAAAAAAACAACTGCAGTGATTCACTTAACAACTGGGACAAGGAAAGTTGAAAAATGGGACAAAACTCACTTAACAAATGTCTCGCTTAGCAACATAAATGTTGGGCTCGACTGTGGTCATAAGTTGAGGACCACCTGTATTTATTTATTATTAAATCTATTTGTCACCCATCTCATATCCAGTGACTCTGGATGGCTTAGACCAGGGGTAGGCAACCTTGGCTCTTTTATGACTTGTGGGCTTCAATACCCAGAATTCCTGAACCAGCCATGCTGACTCAGGAATTCTGGGAGTTGAAGTCCACGAGTCATAAAACAGCCAAGGTTGCCTTCCCCTGGCTTAGAGCATCAAAAGATTCAGGATTAAGGACCGCAGTAAACTTTGCCACCCAATCCGTGGCCCCTCCACACTCAAAGCAGGGCCCCTGGCAAACCACGATTGCGCAATGCACAGTCAGCCCCTCCCTTTCCCCACCCTTGTGGCCCTTGTTCACTGCAACAATCTAAAAAGAAACACAGAATAAATAAATGAAGGTACCCGGAAGAACTCCTTCAGCTGGGGGCTGTTATTTAAGGCCGGGATGTGGATGGTGAAGCACAACATGTCTTCCGCCGCCTTCCTCCGCTCTTCAATCACCTCAGGGTCAAACCGGCCTGTGGAAGATTGGGGAGCAACGTTTTAAGGGTGCAAGGAAGCCCAGGACCCTAGTTCCCAACCAATGAGGTCAACGGAAGAGACAAGTCACCTCTCGGTGTGCGGGATTCCTAATGGCTGGGGATTAGCGGCATTGTTAGTCCCTGAAAAAAGTCGATTGGGGAAAGAGGGGAGAAAGGGAGCTGAACCCCAAAAATCTGGTGATTTTATTTTTCCAGGGCTGCAAAGCTGGATACGGTCGAGGACTCACCAAAGACCTGCGCTCGCGGGAAAGCCGGGAAATCCTCCATGCGACGGAAGAGATTGCGATGGGTGTAAGCCAAATCTGCGTGCAGCTTCTTAAAGTCGCTGTACCTCTTCCACACCACGATCTGTAGGATGGAAGGGAGGGCGAGATTCAGACAACCGAGAATTCGTGACTATGCTAGCTTTCTCCAGGCAGGGACTCCCTGCATGTCTGAAGGTATTGGTGCAGGGTAGTGCAGTATTTCTCGATGCTGGCAATTTTCAGAGGGATGGACTTCAACTCCCAGAATTCCCTAGCTAGCCATGTTGGCTGTGGAATCCTGGGAGTTGAAGTTCATCCATGCTGGCTGTGGAATTCTGGGAGTTGAAGTCTACTCATCTTCAAGTTGCCAAGATTGAGGAACACTACTATCGTGCATTGGGGAGACCTCATTTCTACCCCTTTCCCTTAGGTATAGAGCCTCCCTTTCAACAATCTACCTCACAGGGTTGTTGTGATGGAAGAAAAAGTACATAGCATAATAAGGTTGGAAGAGACCTTGGAGGTCTTCTAGTCCAACCCCCTGGCCTGTGGCAGGAGATCCTATACTATTCCAGACTTTCTTTGGGCTTGAAGGGATGGATACATGTGATCACAGAGAGAATAACAGACCAGAATAACAGAATTGGAAGGGACCTTGGAGATCTTCTAGTCCAACCCCCTGCTCAAGCAGGAGAGCATTTTAGACATATGGCTGTCCAATCTCTTCTTGATGGAGCACCCACAACTTCCAGAAAGAAGCCATTCCACTGGTTGATTGTTCTCTGTGAGTCAACTGAACAGAGAACATGATCATAAAACGTGGAAAAGGGAGGAGCCAACTATATGCTTTTTTAGTGGCATATAAGGCCAGTAGATTAACTACTAAATGTATTTACCCTGTGCCAATCTGCACAGGAAATATCTCCTACTAGGACAGTAACTGCTTTGTTCTTAGAACGCATCATTCTTGCTCACATTCAGTCACTTGACTTTTTGTAAAATCTGCTTTTCTCTCTTTTAAGACGGGCCTTTGGGACGTTTATGGGTTCTGTGTGCTGAGAGAAGCAGAGGCATCAACTTCTCTTGTAAGATGTTACTTGAGAAATCAATAGAAATAAAGCCAGGGCATTGTCTCCTGCAGTAGGCTGTGAAACTGACTAGGACACATTGTGGAACCGGGTAGATAAAAGCTTCTCCCCAGATCAGGCTCGGAAATTGCCTTAAAAAGAGAAGGATTTCATCAAATGCACAGGATGGAAGGAAGGATGTTTACCAGAAGAAAATTAGACTAAATGCAGCACAACTGCCTTCATTTTGGACTGCTTAATTTCTACTTCTCAATCGAGCCTCCTATCTTGAGATCTCCTAGTGGTCTCCCATTCAACCAGGTTCACACTCTGTTTAATTTTCTGGCTCATCAAGGCAAGCTAAGTGCTACCTCCTGCTGTGACAATAGTGCATTAGCCGAATTTAGTAATATAATTGCTAAAATACTGTAATGACACATATGTGCCACTAAACCAGAGATTATTAAAATAATGGTTTACCAAAATGACTGATTTAGGATTCACAAAACATCGTGAACGATAAAGTATCTAACCACAGCATATTCACACATTATGGTTACCCAGCTTAGTGTATACATCATACTAAACTGATTAAAGTTAACCTTGGTTAGGGTTTTTTTGGCTCATTGCTGACTGAGGCAAAAGCTTGTTTAGCTAGTCAATGGTTTATTGTTATGTTCACGCAACTTACTCAACCTCTTTCCTGAGTGAATCTGCTGTATTGATTGATCCATAAGTTTATTAACTTTCCATATAGACCAGTGGTGGCGAACCTATGGCACGCGTGCCAGAGGCGGCACGCGGAGCCCTCTCTGTGGGCACGCGCCATTGCCCCAGTACATGTGGTCTCTAAAAGTTCATCACTGGCCTAAGACCAGCCAGCCTGGAGCCGCCATTGGGGAGCCCACAATCCCACCCGCCAGAGACCCCCCTGGATCTCCTTCAACCCTGCCCGGCTCCCATAGGTGTCCCTCCCCATAAGCAACATCAAGGTGGCCATGCCCACCCCGGCCATGCCCACCCAATCTGCCATGACTCTTGCAGACACACCCATCCAGTGGCCATGCCCACCCAGTCTGCCACGCCCACTATAGCTGCACCCGCCGAGTGGGCCACACCCACCCGGCACCCGGCGGTACATAAGTGGGTTTTGGGTTGCAGTTTGGGCACTCGGTCTCTAAAAGGTTCTCCATCACTGATATAGGCTAATCCTCAAGTAAGCTCCATCACTGGAGATTTTTAAGAAGACATTAGATAGCCATTTTTCCAGGAAAGTATAAGGCAGGGGTCTTCAAACTTGGCCCTTTTATGACTTGTGGACTTCAACTCCCAGAATTCCTTAGCCAGGCAAGCTAGCTGACAAATTCTGGGAGTTGAAGTCCACAAGTTATAAAAGGGCCAAGTTTGAAGACCCCTGGTATAAGGCTGGACTAGAAGACCTCCAAGCTCCCTCCCAACTCTATTATTTTGTTACAAGTAGTCCTCAACATACAACAGTTCCTTTAGTGACTATTCAAAGTTACAACAACACTGAAAAAAGGTGTAAGTCGAGGACTACCTGTGTTCTGTTAACCAAGATTCATATTCATTAAGACGAGCAAGTTGTGTGGATGCAGCAGAGATTTGCAACTGACCTGGGTCAGTGTCCTAGGAGAATTGGCACCACCAGGTTGCTTGAGACATCAGCTAAAAGGTGTTGTCGTGAGAATCCAGCCACTAAGCCCCTTCGCCAACCCACCCTGATCTTAGGACCATGTGTTGTGTGAAGGGTTTTATCCTCCCTTCCCTGGGCAGGATACCCACGTACCTCCTTGATGTCATCTGGATTCACCTTTGAGACAAACTGGAAGGAAAGAGATAACAGGAGGTGACTGTCAATTGGCGCCTTGCCAACTTTGGCCCTCCCTGATGGCTGAGGAATCCCAGGAATGGCAGAGGCTGGGGGGGGGGGCAAAGCAGGATGCCAGCTCAAGGCCAGCTCCCTCTTGCATGTCCAGATGTTCTCTGCCCCCTCCCAGCAATTGCAGCCTGGGGGGCAGAGACCCCTCTCCATCTTCCCCAGACCCATCAACTGGCAGCCCCAGTGTACCTGCATTTTGCATTACACACCCGCATGCACGCACATAGAGGATGGTGATAGCAGGGCAATATCACGCCTCTGCCAAGGGGCAGGCTGGGGAGGGAGGGGGAGAAGCAGCCCCCCACCCCCTTTGCAAAAAAGAAAAGCAGAAGGATGGGGGGGGGGAACCAGCGCCTTCTCCCTCCTCTCTGCACAAGCCCCTGAAACGCCTGCTTTGCTTCTCCTGCTCCACTGGCTGCACCCGCCCATCGCTCCCCGCACTTGCACGGTCTTGGCGGAGGGGGGCAACTGCGGGGTTTCCTCCCCACTCCCCGCCGGGCCTGGGGGGGTGGGAAACTCTCTTTGCAACGCCTTTCTCACTTTGGCCGTGACTTTGTACTCCGTGTAGCCTTTCGGGTGGCCGCGGGGGTCGCTGACGGCGTACGACCGGTGAAACTCCTCCTTCGCCCGACGGGACATCCCGACGCCTTTTTCGGCGTCGCGGCCCCTTTAAAAGCCAGGACTGCGGCCGGAAGGGAGAAAGTCCGCGCGCCGCCGCCGGGAGCCTCCCGCAGGGCGCATGCGCGCCCAGCCCTTTCCCGGCCTGCCCCTTCCCTGCCCGGCGGCTGCCCCAGGGAGCGTCTGCAAAGGGCAGTCCTGGTTGTTCGGCGTTTAGGGATCGTGGGCGATGCTCCCAATTCACAAAAAGCGAACGAGGATCGGGGTTTTTTTTCCTCCAATCCAATCCGGCGCCCGTCAGGGACCTTGCACCGACCGCTCCCCGAATCCCAAAGCAGGTGGGAATCTTCAAGAAGAGACTGAAGTGCCATCTGTCAGAAATGGTGTAGGGTCTCCTGCTTGGGCATGGGGATTGGACTAGATGACCTCAAAGATCCCTTCCGTTATTCTATTCTATTCTATTCATTATTCCATTCCATATTTTCTTTTCTATTCTATTCTGTTCTCTTCTATTCTACTTCCATTCATAATAATAATAATAATAATAATAATAATAATAATAATAATTAATAATAATAAATAATAATAATAATAATAATAAATAATAATAATAATAATAATAATAATAGTTGGAAGGGACCTTGGAGGTCATCGAGTCCAACCCCCTGCTCAGGCAGGAAACCCTATACCATTTCAGACAAATGGCTGTCCAGTCTCTTCTTAAAGACTTCCAGTGTTGGAGCATTCACTGCTTCTGGAGGCAAGGAGTTCCACTGGTTAATTGCTCTCACTCATAAAATTTATCCTTAGTTCCAGGTTGCTTCTCTCCTGGATTAGTTTCCATCCGTTGCTTCTCGTCCTGCCTTCAGGCACTTTGGAGAATAGCTTGACTCCCTCTTCTTTGGGGCAGCCTCTGAGATATTGCCACACTGCTATCATGTCCCCCCTCGTCCTTCTCTTCATTAAACTAGACATACCCAATTCCAGCAACCGTTCCTTTCTACTCTACATTCTATTCCATTCCATTCCATTCCAATTATTCTATTCTACCTGGGAAATTGGATTTTCCACCTGCATCTAGAGCTGCGTTTCTAAAAGTTTAACCTGGGGGGGGGAGATTTCAACTCCCAGAATTCCCCAGCCAGCATGCCCAGATTGTGGAAGGGGGCAGGATACAAATCTTGAAAATAAGTAAATACAGATTATCCTTGATTTATGACCGCAATGGAGCCCAAAATTTTTTGTTGCTAAGTAAGGCAAGTTTAGTGAGCTTTGCCCCATTTTACGACCTTTCTTGCCACAGTTGTTAAGTGAATCACTGCAGTTGTTAAATTAGTAACACGGTTGTTAAGCAAATCTGGCTCCCCCACTGACTTTGCTTGTCAGAAAGTCGCAAAAGGGGATCACCTAACCACGGGACACCACAACCGTTATAAATATGAGTCAGTTGCCAGGCATCTGAATTTTGATCACATGACCTCAGGGATGCTGCAGTGGTTGTATGAAAAACGGTCATGAGACATTTTCTTCAGTGGAATGGTCACTAAATGAATTGTTGTAAGTCAAGGACTATCTATGCCAAACCCACTGTGGAAGATGTGGGTCACCCCATGCTTGCTTAGGGAATTCTGGGAGTTGAAGTCCACCCATCTTCAAGTGGCCAAAGTTGAGAAACACCGATCTAGAGTTTGCCAAGTTGGAAAAAGCTGGTCTATTCCAACCTGCACCCAGATCTCTTTTTTTTAAGGGATGAGGGAATTTCTTTTGAAATTGAAAATATGTTTTCGTGCTCCTGGGATTTAATAAGCGGATTTGTTTCCCTCTCCAAAGTAGGATTATGATTATTTCAATGTTCTTAAGAACTTGGGGATGGGGACAGTTATGCAACATGGAAAAGATTGTTTTTTACAACAATAAATAAAGCAAAATTATGAAATCCACATACTGGCCCTCATATTAAAATAAAAAATAAACAAACTGGTCAGCTGGCTGATGCGAATGAAATTCTAAGTGCAGAAGCTGTTCCCAGCCATTTCTCTGGTTAAAAAAAAAAATACATGCTGGATTTGAATCTGGTTTAAAGTTTCATCCTCTCTCCTAAATATGGGTGGAATTCCTGCTTCTTCCAAGGATGCTAAATCAACCCATTTTTGAACTAGAGACCAAGTGGCCAACTTTGCATCAGAGACCTAACCACAAAAGAACTAACCAACTTGAGAAACAACCGAGTTTTGAGGAGCATGAATCATTCCCAAACCACTTGTGGGAACACAGCCCAACCTGATTTAAGCATGTGCAAACCTTGAATCCAGGACAGCGGACAGATCCCTCTTCTTCACCCAGTCGCACACAAGCTGACTCCAAAATTCCCCGACTCTCTTTAAAACAGCCACAGCTTTATTGGTCTGCTTTTAACACAATCCCGTGCGGAGAACTAAAGGTAGCAAAGTACCACTGGTTTTCCCCCCACCTCCAGCTGTCCCCTGCCACAGGACCGATGCCACTCACTTTTGCACTGGCCATTGTTTCAATTAGACCCGGATCCAGGGTGAAAGATGGGCCATTGGTCAAAATGCAGTCTCTAAATCTGAGTTTTTCAACCTCGGCCTCTGGAAGATGGGTGGACTTCAACTTCCAGAATTCTGGGAGTTGAAGTCCACCCATCTTCCAGCGGCCGAGGTTGAAAAACACTGCTAGATTCTCTCAGTCTGCAGTGAATATCCGGCTTGAGATGTCATCCAACAGCCAATCAATGCCCACCAGTAGATTTTCCCCAGTGTAAGCACTGCAACCTCGGATGCACCAATGGTGGGTCTGGATACTGTCGAGGTCCAGGGCCTGGGGAGGAAGCAAAGGGGGAAAAAAATCAGAAAATTCCCCTTCCGCGCAAAGGTAGCAAAGATCTGAGGAGGCCAGGGACCCCTCCCAAACCTCCAAAGGGGACCTAGAGACTTCAAAGAGGTGAAAAAGGGCAAGATGGTGGAGAAATGAGCCATGCAAGGCTTAAAATGCAGGACTGCATGTGCCATCTTGACTTTTTTGACCCGTTTGCCCCTCTGGGTAAGTGGATTGTTCCCTGGACTTTGGGAAGAGGTGGGGGCTCTCCTTTGGAGGGGGCAAAATGGGGAATTTAGTGGAAAAAACTAAGCCGCCCAGAATTAACTTGAGGCAAGATAGGTGACCTATAAATGTTATAAACAAATAAAGAGCTGAGTTGTGGTTTCTTATACTGGATCAGGATGGGACAATGTGGTATTTTAAAATAAAATGAGCCACTGATGATTTTGTATTGTTTATAACCCATTTTAGGGCTAACAGATGTTGGAAGAGAGACTTTGTGCTTTTTGTCAGTTCTCTGACAGGGAATCCTTACAACCACTTTGACCGTTCAAAGTTACAAGAGCAATGAAAAAGTGACTTATGACCATTTGTCACATTTATGACCATTGCATGGTCACATGATCAAAATTCAGACACTCGGCACCTGGCTCATATTTATGACGGTCACAATGTCCCGTGATCCCCTTTTGCAACCTTCTGACAAGCAAAGTCAACAGGGAATCCAGATTCACTTCACAACTGTGTTACTAAGTTAACAACTGCAGTGATTCACTTAACAACTATGGCAAGAAACGTCGTAAAGTGGAGCCAAAACTCACTTTACAAATGTTTCACTGAGCAACATAAATTTTGGGCTCGATTGTGGTCGTTGAGGATGAAACATGCTTTTGCAATCTATCAGGAGCAGGATTTGAACCGGAGGAACATTTTAATAGAAAAAGCCGAGGGATTGTTTCTTCTATCTAGAATGTTCCATTGGGGTTGAAGAGAAGGGAGGGAGGCTGCAGGCAGAAGTGTGCAATGGGAAACAGATTGGCACCAGTGGTGGGATTCAAATATGTGAATAACCGGTTCTCTGCATGGATGCCGCTTCCAGACGTCCATTCTGGGCCTGGGCAACAAACAATTAGCTACCGGTTCTGCCGAATTGGTGCGAACTGGCTGAATCCCACCACTGATTGGCACCCTCATCCTGGGCACAATTCTATATGCACAAGAATCTCACGAGCCACCCAGAAGCTATTCACTAGATTTGGAAGGACAGTTTCATGCTTTTTTCATCCCACTTAAGAATTGCTACTAGGGGGAAAAAATGCAGAGTTTCTCTGTTCCGCTCAGTGTCCAGTTTTAAAACTCAGCTAAGTTTTAGCTACTGCCTTTTTCAATTCAGAACCTTAGGGCAGAGTTTCTCAGCCTTGGGCACTTGGAGATGGGTGGACTTCAGCTCTGGGAATTCTGGGAGTTGAAGTCCACCCATCTCCAAGTGCCTAAGGTTGAGAAATACTGCCCAAGGGATGCTCGCCAGGAGCCCAATGATCGTGGTTGCCCTTGCAACAAGAAGGGGGACAAACAAATTTAATAAATACATACATAAACAAACCAACTGCGATGGTTCTTACCTCCTGGATGGCGCTGGGACTTAATGCACCTGGCAGGTCCTGCTTATTGGCAAAGATGAGAAGTGTGGCACCAGCCAAACGCTGCACAAATGGAGAGAAAAACCAACAAATACACCAAATTTTCTCACTCAACCTAACGGCTTCCGAAGCTAATTGGCACCAAATGCCAATTTTGGGAATTAGGAGTCCTAAGAAAAGGAATCCGGGGTGGGGCAGCCTGGTCAATTCTTCTCCTGGACCAAGGAGAGCGGACGAAGCATTGTTGGGGAAACGTGGTCACTTTAAGATGGGTGGACTTCACCTCCCAGAATTCCCCAACCGGCATAGAAGGTAGAGCACTTTCCAGCCTTGCTGGGTTGGGCCACAATAGAGCAATAGCCCAATCCCAAATTGGTTTCCTCGATGGGGTCTCAGCAGATGCTCAGCCATGCCAGAGTTGGTTAAGACTGGATGGGGGACCACAAGGAAATCATGGAGGTAGAGACTACATTGCCAAGAAGGTTTTTTTTTTTGATATTTATTTCTATCGCGCCTTTATTCTTTTTTGCAAATAAACCAAGATGGCAAACATATCCAACATTTCTTCCTCCTATTTTCCCCACAACAACCACCCAGTGAGGTGGATTGGGCTGAGAGCGAGTAACTGGCCCATAGTCCCCCAGGGAGCTTTCCTGATTAAGGCGGGACTAGAACTCACCATCTCCTGGTGATTGGCCCAAAGTCACCCTGACAGCTTTCATGATTAAGGCGGGACAAGACTGGTTATAAAAATAAATTACACATTTATATATATGAAGTGACTAGGAGTCAAGGAATTCTGGGAGTTGACGTCCACTGCTTCAGATGTTTGGGGAATCAGCCAATCAGGATTCCCAGAATGCTCTCTCCCTACCAAAGAATTCTGGGAATGGATGTCTCCAAGATCCCATTCCAGAGGAGGCCGCCCCTCCTCTCTCCAGCGAGGCAGCCCACCTCTTCCACCAGGAGGGTCTCCAGCTCCTTCTTGCAGTCCTCCAGCCGCTGATGGTCGGCGCTATCCACCACCCAGATGAGCCCATCGGTGCTCTCAAAATAGTTGCGCCAGTAGGAGCGCAGGGACTTCTGGCCCCCCACGTCCCAGATATTCAGCTTGAACCTGTGGGGGAGAGAGAGAGAGAGGCAAGGCAGAGGTGGGAGAGCCAGGCCGGGGAGGGGGAAGCCGGGAGGAGGACGGGGTGGGGGGATCCTCACCCGCGATGCTCCAGGGTCTTGATGTTGAAGCCCAGCGTGGGCGAGATGGTGTCAATCTCGTCTCCATTGAACTTTTTCAAGATGGTGGTTTTGCCGGCATTGTCCAGGCCCCTCAGGGCGGCCCGAGTCAAGGATCGTAAGCAACAGTGTTAAAAGCAGGACAGCATTAGAGCAGTGGTTCTCAACCTTTTTAATGCCGTGACCCCAACCGGTCATAAGTCAAGGACTAAACCGGTCGTAAGTCGAGGACTAAACCGGTCGTAAGTCGAGGACTACCCAACCGGTCGTAAGTCGAGGACTTTCCCTGCCCGGGAGCGCCGCGCATGCGTGGTTCCGCCCCCTGCACCGGCCGAGGCGTAGCTGGCAAGTGGCAGAGATGGAGCAGGCCGACCACCAGCTGGCCCAGCCCAAGGGAGGTAAGGCACCCGCCGGAAAAGGGGGAAAAAATGGTGGACAAAAAAAATGGTGGACAGCCTTGCTTGGCGACCCCCGTGAAATGATCGATCGACCCCAAATGGGGTCCCGACCCACAGGTTGAGAACCACTGCATTAGAGGAAGGTGCCAAGCTGCTGGCAAAGGAAAACCGCAGAGGAGGGAAAGGCATTTGAATCCCTAGCCACTGCTGCCAAGTCCTGCCAAAGCATTTTCTGTGCCCCTAAACGTAAAGGGCTGTGCCTTGCCTGGGAAGCACAGAGCAGGCAGGGATTGAGCCCCAAGCACTCTGCCCATGCTCAAGGGCACTCTTGACCAGGCAAGTTGAGGGATGGAAACGCTGCCTGGGGAGGGAGCGCAGCCCCAAAGCAAGCTCCTCTTTCCTGGGATGCAAAGTCAAGGCTTCCCCCGCCTTTCCCAACTCGACCCACCCGCCGCCTATTCCCGGTTTCCCCCCACTCCTCCAGTCCTCCTTTTCCTCGCGGAAGGATACAGCATCAGCAGGCGCAGCTCCCGCTCCTTCTGTCGCATCTTCTTCAAGATGCTCAGCAGCCCCATCGCCCGCGCGGAAGCTTTGCTCGCGCTCCGCCCTTTGCCGGGATGCCGCGCGCGTGACTCCGCCGCTCAGAACTCCGCCTCCGCCAATGAGGAAGGTCGTGGGGCGGTCCCGGCTGTAGAGGAATATACAGGAGGAGATGTATATCTACTTCCGGATCTCAATCGCAAATTTTGCTGGTTGCTGCACGGCAGCCAGGAGATGGCAGCGAAGGGACTTTAATTAGTCAGAACAGAGCCGGAAGGGACCTTGGAGGTCATCTAGTCCAACCCCTGCTCAAGCAGGAGACTCTTATACCATTTCAAAACAGGTGGCTAGTCTTCGACGCGTTGGTGCTTTATGGTCCCTTTTAATTACATAAAAGTTGCCTTAGGCTTTTACTTGGTGGAAAGCAATTGTATAGATGCACACGGTTGTGTTGAGACTGTGTAGATGGCAGCTAAGAGACTTAACAAAATGATAGAGTTGGAAAGGACCTTGGAGATTTTCTAGTCCAACCTCCTGCACAAACAGGAGAACCTATACTTTGTGAGAGCAGTTGTGCATTTGTGTGGTTACTGCCTGGGTCAGAATACAGAATAACAAGAGTTGGAAGGGACCTTGGAGGTCATCTAGTCCAACCCCCTGCTCAAGCAGTAGACCCTATACCATTCCAGATAAGTGGCTGTCGTCTCTTCTTAACAGCCTCCAGTGATGAAGCACCCACAACTTCTGAAGGCCAGCTGTTCCACTGATTGATTGTTCTCATTATTAGGAAATTTATCCTTATTTCTAAGTTATTTCTAGGGTGTTTGAGACAAAAGTTTTCTGTCTACTCAGAAGTAAAAGCCTTGAATCAAATTAATTTGATATTCTCAAATGGGTGGAAGATTTGGTGATTTAGTCACGGTTTCCATCGTCTGTGCATCTTTCGCTTCAAAAGGAACCTGAAGTCGAATCTGCCCACAGGTCAGACCGTGGCCATTCACCGATGAGTCCCGCCCCCCTCCTGGTAGAGAAGATGAATCGCCAAGCTGGACGATTGTCAAATCTACCCAAGGTAGATTTGCGAAACTTCAAAGAGATATGTGCTATTGCACTGAGAGTTTAAACCAGTGGTTCTCAACCTTTTTAATGCCGCGACCCCAACCGGTCGTAAGTCGAGGACTAAACCGGTCGTAAGTCGAGGACTAAACCGGTCGTAAGTCGAGGACTACCCAACCGGTCGTAAGTCGAGGACTTTCCCTGCCCGGGAGCGCCGCGCATGCGTGGTTCCGCCCCCTGCGCCGGCTGAGGCGTAGCTGGCAAGCGGCAGAGACGGAGCAGGCCGACCACCAGCT